CCTCACCTAGGGCAGTGGCAATGCCAGCCCCAAGAGGCCTTTCCTGGGGAAGATCTCCAAGCATTTTTTCAGGCGTTGCCTTAGCAATCGAGCCATCTGACGGGGTTTCTGTCAAGTCTAGGACTCCAAACAAGTTAAAACTAAGATTTATAATATCTAGAACCCTGTCACTCATTGAACTCTCCAATGTAGCTGAAAATGTGGTTATTGGGGATGTCAGGGACAACCCCAGTGGTGAGTGACATTTGCTTTACTTCTTAGCTCTTACATTGTGTTCAAAACCTCCAGGGTCTTCATGGGGACTTAGGGAGCAATCTCAGTCTCGGGGAACCCTGGCTTGTCTGTATGGCAGCTGGATGTGCTTCCCCACGGGGGCTGACGGGATTTATCACTGCTCCATGGTGTTCAACCTCTATTCTTCATTCTGAATTCTAGAATTTGACACAAACTCAAAACTCTTTCCCTAGCAAAGGCAGATAAACCCGTTTTGCATACACTTTGGGGGAGGGGAGGGTTGATGGATTTGCTCTGAATCCTATCCCTAGTCCTCAGAGTAGGAAGGAAACAACTGGATTGAAACCTGCCTAATAGAAACTAAAAACCAAGAACCCTGTCCTCATCCTTCACAAAGATTAAAGGCAAGTTGAACTCTCAATCAAAATGCACGGACCCCTCGTCCCTACAACCCACCTCCCTAAATATACTTCCCATTATCTCTGTAGAAACCTCTTCTTGTCTCCCATCCAAGTACTAACTAGGCCCGACCCTGCTTAGCTTCCGAGATCAGACGAGATCGAGCACATTCAGGGTGGCATGACCGTAGATGAAACCTCTTCTTGTAACCATGCAAAGACTGATTTAGAGGACAGCAAGTCTGTCCTCTCAGCCTGCTAGTACCTGAGTGGTTTTCTAGCAACAACTTGTGTCCCTGGAATGTTTGCTTTCAAATGGCAAGCCCCTTGGCTTGGGTTCAGGAAATAGAATGATGATTTTTGCCCAGATTTTTTCCTTTTGACATTTATATAAAGATGAGAGAAGGTGTGTTGAGATAGTATGGGGTAGACACTTGCCTTGCACACAGTCAGCCCAGGTCCGATCCCTCAAGTTCTTTTAGGTGAATTTCTTATTTAAGTAAAAAAGTTTCAGAAGGATCCTTAGAGAGCAGCATTTCATGTTTAAGGGGCTCAGTGTCCAACAATACCACCCTGAAGATGCTCAACTGCATATGGTCCCCCAGAGCATCACAGAGTCAGGAGTAAGGTCTGAACATCACTAGGTATGGTCCAAAACACAAAATCTTTTTGAAAAGAGAGACCTCCATTTGATACTGACTTTTTCTTAGCAGAGGAAGAGAATATATTTATTTACTGGACCTGGTGGAAAATTCAGGGATTTGAAAGACATTGGTAAGAAAGCATCCCTAATTGTGGAATCTTTTTCCTTTGTCCCTGCCAATTTCCAGTAGAATAACTCTCTTCAGAGGTCTCTTTTGAATTTCTGAAAACTTTTGAACAGATTTTTCACTGTATGCAATGACTTACTGTATTTCACAGCATAATGAACACAAATTTTGTGCTTTTTTTTTTCCTTTTCACTTTTTTGGCAACAAAGTGATGTGTAACCATTATGCATGTGAATTGCCTTTCATGAGGTTGATTCTCTTTGATCCCAGGCACCCCATATGGTTACCAAGCACCACCAGGAGTGATCCTGAAGCACAGAGCCAGAAGTAGACCCTGAAAATACACAGGTGTGGCTCCCAATCCCCCTTTTTTGCTGGTTATTACTGAAACATCGGGTACAACATTTAGATGGTGAAAATATGGTGGCTGTAAAACTCAAGTTCTTGTAGGTGAGTTTCTTATTTAAGTAAAAAAGTTTCAGAAGGATCCTCTGAGAGCAGCATTTCATGTATAAGGGGCTCTGTCTCCAGCAATACCACCCTGAAGGTGCTTGATTGCTTGAAAGGGAACCTGCTTATAGGTGATGGCCTCCACCCCGCAACACAGAGCACTATGGTGGAGAATGAGGGTCTGGTCTGGAGTCTGCACTGGGAACCCACACACCTTGTTTTCAGGTAACTTGGGCTTCCCAGGCTTGCTTCCCTAACCCACTTCATGTTTACAATTTATGGATGGGATGAGAAGCGTGTCTGGGAGTGATTTAGTGATATCTATCAAGCATTTCTTTCCAAAATTTGAGTTCGTGTATTTTTTCATTCAAAACCTTGATGGCCCATAGTTTTTGCCATTCAGAGTGTTCCAGTTTGCAGGTGATGTTCAAGTTCCAGTAGGTTGTGTCCAGGTAAAGCCTTCCAGTGTTGAAATTACTGTAAGTCCAAACTATAATTACTCCCTGGGACCTCTCTAGTGCACAGATCTGCTCCCCGTGCAGGACTGTGTGGGCCGTTTACCTAAGTACCATCACCAGAGAAGTCTTTCCTCCTCTTGCCAGAAACAGGAGACAGAGGTGGGTGTTTTGTAGTGATGTGGGAGGGAAGTACAGAATATCGAGACAGTGCTGGCACCCAGTGCTCTAGACACCACGTGGTTTCCCGTTGCAATGATCAAGTTGACCAGAGCTGGACTCCCTGAACCCAAATAAGAGCAAAGTTCAAGTATGATTCACTGAATGCATCTCCATGGACCCACCTCCCACACCTCCCCACTTTACCTGAGACTGCAGGTAAAGCCCTCCCAGCCCTGTCCCGCCAGTTCCCAAGAGACTGGATGATTTTTCTCACTCAAAGGGTCTGCATGTGCTCATTGTCTATGCTGCCTGTCCTGGGGTGCTCATAACCAAGTCCAAATACTTTAAAAACAGTTTTCTTCTATTTGATAGTAAAATCTCACCTGAACTTTGTGAGGATACTTGTATTTTCTATGCATATGATAGCACAGCGGTAGGGTGTTTGCCTTGCACACAGCCGGCCTGGCTGAGCCAGGTTTGATTCCTCCACCCCTCTCGGAGAGCCCGGCAAGCTACCGAGAGTATCTCGCTGCATGGCAAAGCCTGGCAAGCTACCCATGATGTATTCAATATGCCAAACACAGTAACAACAAGTCTCACGATGGAGATATTACTGGGCCTGCTTGAGCAAATCGATAATCTAAAATTACACCCACCAACTGCCATATAACCCCATCAATGGTCAGGATCCAGAGACTATAAAACCAAGCTCCCGGAAGAGAACAACGCAGAGTCTCCTGCCCCCGCTGTCCTCACCAGGGCCCCTTGGAGGAGGGCGGGTTGAGTTTCCCTCTCCGCCCCGAGCAGAGCCCTGGCAGCTGAAGACCTCTGGGACTCAGCCACAGCCATGCTAAGACCACGGTCCACACACTTGGGCAAGTCTCACACATGAAAGGAACCGGCAGAGGAACCCAGGTGTGCGGGACCCGGGGCTGAGATCTCCAAGCCTGCTCGGTTCAGGACTGGACCTCCTCTACCCAGCTCCCCCATCTTCCAGTAGCTAGACAGTTACACCCACCAACTGCCATGTAACCCCATCAACGGCCAGGATCCAGAGACTATAAAACCAAGCTCCCAGAAAAACCTCTTATTCTCTAGTTCTCACTCTCAGAGAACCTGGCAGGCTACTGAGAGTATCCTGCCCACATATATGCCTGACTGGAAACACCTGTAAAGGTGATTAGAGGCTGCCCCAAAAGCCTCCATTCCTCTCAGAGAGCCTAGCAAGCTACTGATAGTATCCCGCCCGCACGGCAGAGCCTGGCAAGCTATGTGTGACATACTCGATATGCCAAAAACAGTAACAATGATGGTCCTCATTTCCCTGACCCTGAAAGAGACCCCAGTATGCCATCTGGCTACACTAGCACGTGACAAGGATGAATGGAGATGTTACCTGGCACCCATTCAAGAAAATCGATGAACAACTGGGTGATAGTGATAGTGATAATCTAAAGTAAATAATTTTATATTTCATGGAGAAATATTAGTGATATGTTATTATAGACTACATTATAAATATAAATAGTATATACATTTAATAAGACTAATAAATAATATAGTAATTTTCTAAAGTCCTAATAATTCTGAATCAGTAAGAACCCATTGAGGTGAAGAAAAAATGCAGAAAACCCCTAAACCAGGGTCCAAGGAGCAACACATTGTAGTGTGGGTCACGTTTCAGGGTGATGGTCTTGAAATGTCTCCTGGACTGCTGCCATTCATCTAAAACACAGTCCTGCGTTGTGTTACAGAGAGCAGAGGGGGGTATGTGGGCCCAAGGCAGGACCAGTCCCTGGCCCAAGGCCACCCACAGTCAGTGACAGGTGGCAGGAAAGGCGCTGCATCCTTTCAGTTCTCACTGTGCCCACCATGCCACTGAAACTAAAATTGTATAAGACTTGGAGCCTGAGGTATAGTACAGCGGGGAGGGCATTGCTTGGTGCAAAGTCTATCCAGTTCTGTCCCCAGCATCCCACATGGTCCCCTGAGACAGGAGAAGTGATCCCTGAGCACAGAGTCAGGAGGCACTGCTGGGTGTGGCCCCAAACATCCATGCCCCCCTGCAAATGTGCAGGTATCTTACTCAGTCCGACAACAAGAGACTGAATAACCAGTAACCATGGGAGGGTCACAAAGAAGCAGCACCAGAACCTGACCTGTGATTCGGTCCCACCAGCTTGTCCCTGTCCCTGTTCCTCATGGCAGCCTGCAGAACCTGGCCCATGGGACAGTGTCGTCATGGGACCTGCCACCTGCTCAGTCACATTGTCTAGCAGAGTAGAACTGGTTTGTTGCTGGAACATTGAGGTGCAGGAGAGGGCCAGAGCTGATAGCATCCTGGGCTCCAGAGGGAGGACTTCTGCAGGGAGAAGTTGGGGGACGGAGCACTTAGAGAGGAATTTCCCCAAGGGACGTGTCCCCAAGGCTTTCCTATCTCTGATCCCAAACATTGAAGAGAGTTCAGTCGATGCACTGTAAACAGGCAAATATTAACGAAGGGGAGGTCATTGGCGTGGGCTGGGGTGGAAGTGTTGCCCTCTCGTTCAGAGGAACTGCTCTCTGGTTCACACAAGCAAAACTGAGCAGTTTCTGAAAATTATTTTCTTACAAAGCTTTTCCAGCAGCAACTTCCTTGAGCTTTTTTTGTTTTCCTGCTAAAAGTGGATATTGTTTTTGTTTTAAGAAACTTCTCCTAAGGAAGAGAAGTCTAGGAGGGAAGTGATTGGTCTTGAGGGATTTTAGAAGATTGGCTTTTGTCTAGCTAATTTCTGGCTAAGTTAAAATAATTCCAACCTGTGCTGAGTAACTGATGCCAAGATGATCTGTCGCTGTGTATATGCTCTTCCACTAATGTGGCTGATTTCTGCCTCCCAAGGTTTGTATGTTTTAATTAACCTCAGTACTATGGGCTGTGACTTAAGGAGCATTGTGTTTACAACCTCAGTTAAATTTAACCACATGAAAATGTATTCCCTTTATTGAAAAATCCTAAATTTCCTGGCCTAATGCTCTGTCCTTCCTTGGGGCTTAGGGATTATTTACTGATGATTCTGTTCTATGAAGTGCATGTTAACCTGCTTCCTCTACTCTTTCTGGGGGCAAAATAGTCCCATTTGTAAAATGTTAAGAAACCTGATTAGCTAGTGACAGGCTCCAGAAAGTTGTTTCTTCAGGGGTAAGCTCGAGTGAAAATCCTGTAGTTCTTTTGGAAAGAAAAGTTGGGAATTTTTGAAAGGGAAGGATGTGGATGCTTATGACCATTGACCAGGACAAGAAGACAGGGGCAATAGACTCCAAGAGAGTCTTCAGAGCACACTGCATGTGGGGGGAACCAACTTGTTTTCTTTCTCCTTCTAGAAAAGAGCTGCCCAGAGCTACCCTCTGTGGACAACAGCATATTCGTTGGAGTAGAGACGCCAGGACACCATCTAGGAACTTACATCTGTGTCAAGGGCTACCACCTCATAGGGCAGAAAAGCCTGTCGTGCATGACCTCTCAGGGGTGGGACGCCCCCACTCCCAGCTGCCGTGGTGAGTCTCTCTTCTTCCACCTTTTCCCTCTGCTCAGCCACTTCTTTGACACCAGAAGGCTCTTTCACTCTGCGTGAGGTGTCAGGAAACCTTTTCCACCCTCCAGGAGCCCTTGCATCGAGCTCTCTCTGTTGCAAGTTCTCTTCCAAGATGCAACTCTGATCAATGTTGATTTAGATGAATCAGACTTCATCTGATTGAATCAAATTGAATAATAGAGCCTAGTTGAACTAGATTCATGATAGAATCAATCATCCCTACAAAACAGTTTCTTCCACATATTAAAACTATTTGAGGGGGTGTGGTTTAATAGCGGGCTGGAGCGATAGCACAGGGGGTAGGGCGTTGGCCTTGCACACAACCAACATGGCTGACCCGAGTTCGATTCCTCCGCCCCTCTCAAAGAACCCGGCATATCTCGCCCGCACAGCAAAGCCTGGCAAGCTACCTGTGACGTATTCGATATGCCAAACACAGTAACAAGTCTCACAATGTTACGGGGCCCGCTCGAGCAAATCGATGAACAACAGGAGGACAGTGACAGTGACAGTGGTTTAATAGCACACTGTTTTAAATTTTTACATTATGAAAAAGTATAAACATATACAAAAGACAAAGGCAAATTCCTACCCTCTGGCCCAGAGTCAGTGATGACCAGAACATGCTGACCCTCTTCATCCACACCAGTGCTCCTCCAGGATTGAATAAACAAACTGAAATTGGTAAAGCAAAGGGCTCCACCCAGGGTCTTCTGATGCACCAGTTGGGTTCTGGCCCTTCACCATATTGGTAGGAATATCAGAAAGATTTAGGAATTGTGAAAGCTCCCCAGGTGATCCTAAGAAGGGAAGTTTGAGGCCCTCTGACCTATACCCTCACCACGGACCTTGAAGTCACTACATCAAAATTCTTTATTGGTCTGTCTCGTAAGTCTTGAGAGGAGAAGAGTTTGTCTTAGTTGGCGAATGTGATAACTAAGATCCAAAGGATTTGCTCAAGTTGACAAGTTTTTTTCTGCTCTCCTCTGAGCCAGAGGGAGAGCTCTGAACTCAGATCCACTTTCTCCTGAGAGTTTCTGAGAATATCTGTGCCGGTATTCCCTTAACTGCTCTGCCTTCAGTGTGCTTAACCTCTGCCCATGTTCCAGAGTCACTGTCCTCTGCATATATCCTTCCTCTCACCTGGGAAAACAAATCCAAGCAGTAAAATGATGATGAGTCATGAGTCTATCTGGCACATGGAAGGGACAGAAATACTTTCCTCCTACAGACTACTTAGCAGGAAGGGCAACTGCCAGCAATTTCCAGTCATACGGGTAATGACTGCTGGCCAATCGTTGGTCACTCTGCACACACCACCCTCGGTTACTGACTTTCTCACCCTGCATGGCCAGTTTGTCCCCATTTCAAATGTGCACTTCCAGTTCTCATTCTCATACTCTCTCTGACGCCTGGCTTTCCCCATCTGCTCTCTCTCCAGTGGGCCACTGTCCTGACCCTGTGCTGGAGAATGGTGAGCCCAGTTCCTGGGGGCCTGTACATGAGAATGACACAGTCGTGTTCAAGTGCAATGACAGTTACATTCTGAAGGGCAGCAACTGGAGCCAGTGCCAAAAGGACCACATCTGGGCACCTCCCATTCCTGTCTGCAAAAGCAGTGAGTATAAGGACAGCAGGCATGAGTCCCAGTGAGGCAGATGGTCCTGAAAGTGCCCCGACCACTAACTCACTGCAGGGAGCCAGACAGCAAGTGAGCTCCTAGGGTTAGCCTCGGCCAGCAAAACGGGCTAAGCATAGCTTTACATGCAGGGGTCGGTGGAGGCTAGACCCCTGCCATCATGTGGTCCCTTATACCTGATCTGGAGCAAACATGGAGCACTGAGCTGGGAGGAAGCCTAGAGCACTACCAGTAGAGGCCAGAAAAAAAGAAAAACAAGAGAGAAAGACATTCGACACTCCACTCAGGTGAACACATGGCTCTTTCTCCTTTCCTTTTTTTTTTTGGACCACACGTGGTAGTGCTCAGGGGTTATTCCTGGCTCTACATTCAGGAGTTACTCTTGGTAGTGCTTGGGGGAACCATAGGGGATGCTGGAGATCGAACTGCTGTGTCCAGCAGCAGTGGTAAGCTCAGGGCCCCCAACCGTTTCTTTTCAAATTTTAAAATTGTGACTCAAGTGGCAAAGAACATTCCTGCATATGCAAGCATCTGCATCTGATCCCATATGTTTCCCCAGGATCCACTGGGAGTGACCACAACAGTGATAACATTTTTTCTACAATGTGACTTAAAGCTTTTATTAAAGCAACATAACAAAAAGTGTTGGGGGAGCCTTAACTCCTCCCTCGCAGAGATATGAGCGATGTTTCTCTGCCTTCTCTCATTACAATTCTCATTACAATTACAGCTCTGAGGAATTGGTTGTTTCATGAATTTTCTTACATTTGTGAAGATAGTTTAAACAAACAAATGCGCACATGGGCCTACACACATAATTACCTTAAAAATTGAATGTTTGGGGGCCGGAGCCATAGCACAGAAGGCAGGGAACTTGCTTCGATGTGTCGGGCTTTATCTCAGACGCTCCATATGGACTCACAGCTCAGTCTCCTTTACCTAGTTCTGAAGAGGACATCCTGGCGGGCGATCCCAAATACATTAGGCCATAGAGAACTCGCCTATTCCAATCAAAACACTCTTAAAACTCACCAAAATAACAATGAACACAAGAATCTGAATAAGCCTTACGTAAAAGAACAGAATCCCTGGAGCTGCACTGCTGGCCCAACATGCGACAAAGAGGAGCACCAAAGAGGGAGTATTCTTTTTTCTTAATTAGTTAAACACCATGAGGTACAGTTATAGACTTACAAATTTTTGTGCTTGGGTTTCAGTTATACAATGATCAAGTACCCATCCCTCCACCAGCGCCCATCCTCCACCACCACGGGTCCCAGCATCCCTCCCACCCCCCATTCTCCCCATCCCACCCTGCCTCTGTGGCAGGGCATTCTCTTTTGTTCTCTCTCTCTAAGAGGGATTATTTTTAAAGAGGAAACAGGAGACCCTCCACAGGGCTCTCTAACCTGCACCAGGATTCACCCCTGAGCACAGAGCCAGGAGTAAGCTCTGAGCACCGCCAAGGGGAGCCCAAACCTTTCTCAGGCCAAGAAGGGAACATTGCTATATATTTTTAAAATGCTTTTTAAAGGTGACAATATTCACGGGGTCTTTCTAAGAACAGCTTGTATAACTATCCCCCGACATGTTAATATCTGCATGTGGTGTGCCTTAACACATGTATTGGTTTGGGAGCCTCACCCAATGGTGATTCTGGGGCTGACTCTGGCTTCTAGGGTATGCAGGGGACCATGTTATACCAGGGGTCAAGACAGGCTCCCACCTGCAAAGCCTGCACGCTGCCCATCAAGTCATTTCAAGCCTATAAGGTCTCATGCTGAACTCATTTGTTTCTGTAGTTTTGCTATAACAAATAATGATGATAACAAACAATAAATCTTATTACGTATATAGATTTATGCACACATTTTTAAAGTTTCTGCTATTGTTTCCTTAGTATATATATTTCTAGAATCAATGGTCACAGAATGTCATTATATGCAAAAAGTGCTTAAGAATTAATTTTTGGATATAAAATAAATATTGAAAAATCAGCAGTTCTACCCTTTAGTAGTAATTATTAGATGAGGATTAAAATGTGAAAATAATTCCATTTATGAGAACTGTATGAAAACATACTGAACATAAAATAAAACTTGAAGAAATGTAAAGATTTACTAGGGCCCTAGGTGGGCAAAATCAGCCTTAATGTGCAATCCTGATCTAATTTTCAATGAATATTTTTATTTAGAAACCTATTTGAAAGGGCATATTCTAGCATTGCAAGTTGTTTACTTATGTAAAGGCTTTTGGAAAGAGCAGCTAGGGACAGAGGGTTCAATGGGCTGAACGAAGGCCTTGCGTGCAGAAGGCTTGTGTCCAATCCACGGCACCGCAGGGCCTCTCTTAAAGCCAGAAGAAAAAGCTAAAAGGGATGGTTTTAAGTTTTTAATTAGACTGGGGACAGTACCAATTAGTCCATCAGCCCCTGCCCGCCCACCCCCGACACACACACACACACACACACACACACACACACACACAGCCCTCCATCCGCACCCCCCGCAACTCCATGCCTGACTAGTGGAAAATGCATCACTGAGAATTAACTGCATGGACAGATGCAGTCGCCCAAGTTCACCACTCTCCCAGGAACGTGCCTTTGCTGAGCCGCTATCGTGCATGCGTGCCTGCATGTGCAGGCCTGGCCTCACAGCTCATGCTCTCAGTGCCCTGAGAATGCTCTCTGCTGCACTTTGTCCCCTCTACTCCCCTACAAACTTCAGGTGCTGGTCTTTCTTGTCCTTACACCAGATGTAGCTGGAACCAGACATCCTGTGTGCAACTGGCGTCTTTCTCCGTGGATGGAGTGCACCGTGCTTCACCCTGTCAGCACTGACAGCTCCCCTGATTGCCAAATGACATCTCTCCCCTCCTCTCCCTTCTCTTCCTCCTCCCTTCTTCCCCCTCCTCTCTCTGTCTTCTTTTCCCTCCTCTCCTCTCCTCAACCAGTTCCCCTACTCTTCACTCCCTTCCTCTCCAGACTCTCCCCTCTCCTCTGCTTTCCCTCCCCTCCTCACTCCTCCCCCTCTCTTCTCCCCTTCTCCCCTCCCCTCTTCATCTTCCCTCCCCTTCTCTCCCCTCTCTTCCCCTCCCCTCTCCTGTCTCAAGGTCCAGCTGCTCTTCCTCTGCCTGCGCTGACCTCCCCTGTACAGCAGACATGCCCTTCCCCGCAGATTTTGCCCATCAGAAAGTTCTCCTCTGTTGTCAGAGCACCTCTGGGGAGGGGTCTGCCCAGGGTCAGGCCAGCAGGACTCTGATGGGTAGAGGACACACACCAGGAGGGGCAAGTGCTGACCCCCCATCATCTGATACCTGTCCCTCAGGAGACTGTGACCCTCCAGGGAAGCCAAGCCACGGCTACTTCGTAGGAAGAGATTTCAGCTCCGGATCTAGGATCACGTACTACTGCCAAGAGAGGTAAGGACACAGCTTCCCACTGAGCCTGTGCTGCCCTGGCAGCTCAGATGGGGGTGGGCGCCCAGGAGTGCCTGCCCACTTCCCTGAAATCTAGGATGCAGGGTCTTGGGTGGACCAGTTCCCAGAGCTGCTTTCCTATTATCAGAATCCCACACTTCTGTCATAAGGGAAGGGCCACTTGTTCTTACGACAAGAAAAGGGATTCAGATGTGTTTCCTAAAGCATCTCAGAAGAAAATCCCCCGCAAAAACGCAGGTCACAGGAGTGCACAGAAATAAGGCACTGAGGGTGCGGGAGTGTCCAGCCTGGAGCAGGCGCCCAGCGGCTCTGCTCCTGCTGCAGCCTCACGGAGCCTGTGGCCTGTCGCCTCTGACCTTCCACCTGTGAGGGTATACCTAGGGCGTGACCCTCGTCTGTTCTCCCTTAGAAGCCAGGACTTAATCGGTGGACTTGAGGGCTGTGTAAACTTTCTGTATTTGTGTTTATAGAGGACAGATACCTTTTAAATGTATTGAACAATAAAAAAAAAAACTCCTAAAAAGTTCTGAGTATAACCCCACACAAGAAGATAATTTCCATCTTTCTGAAATATGTGTACATTCACCCTGAAATACTCAGACACACACACACACACACACACACACACACACACACACACACTGGGACACTGACAGGCACTCATTCTTGGAACACTGACATACACATCTCCCTGATGCCTACACACAGCACTCACCCCCAGACGCCGACACACGCACTCACCCCCGGACACCGACACATGCACTTGACCCCGGATGCTGACACTCTCACCCTTGATTCTGGCACTCACACTCCCACCCAGATGCTGACATACACTCATGCTCACCCCCAGGTGCCCACACACTCACTCCCACCTAGACACGGACTCACACACATGCACCCCTGCCCCCCGCACCCCCCCTCGAGTTGACACACACTCACGCCTGCCCCCACGCTCTCGGGCAGGTTCCGCCTGGTGGGCACACAGCAGCAGCGTTGTGTGGACGGGGAGTGGAGCAGCGCACGCCCAACCTGTGAGCTGGTCCCAGACCCTCTTCGGACACAGCTGGAGGAGGCCATGGTGAGTGTATGCCCTGGGTGGTCCCTGCTACCTGCACATAGGTGAGCCCATGCTCTGGCGTGTGCTCAGCCTCTGGGCTGGCCCCTGATGTCACTGCACTGTCATGAACAGACACACGTGCTCCCCTCATTGTCATTCCTCAGGCTTTCAGAGCACAGAAAGTCCTAGCTGAGACAGAGCACTGCCCAGGGAAGTCACAGACTGTCTCTTAGCCCCACTCAGGCTGGACTTCTTGGTTTATGCTGTTTTGCACACATTTGCATTTATATGAGAAAGTAAGCATGGTATAGTTAGAAGACAGAATAATGTTGAGAACTGGATCCATTGGAACCAGCCCCATTCTGAGTCCATCAGGACCCAAACTTCTGCTCATGGGCCCCAGACAGGCAGTGGGGTCTCGGGTCTGATGCTTTGACTTAAAAAACTACTTTTCTTCAGCTTGCCTTTCAGGAGAAGAAGGACCTTTGTGAAATCATAAAGAACGTTACCCAAAAATTAAAGGAAAGCAATTTAATGATGGAAGAAGCCAAACATTTCCTGGAGTTAAAAAAAGCTGAGTTAGAGGCAAAACTGTTAAAAATAAATAAAAATAAAGGCAAAAAAGGCAAAAATATTGCTCTGATAATGTAGCTAAACAGCCCAGGCAAAGACACATCCCCATGAGGAACTGGAGAGAGAGTGTGCAGAGGTGAGAGGATAGGTTTGCCTGGCAGGTGACCAACCTGGACCTGATTTCCAGCAATGCCCAATGGCTCCCAGCATCACCAGGAGTGACCCTGAGCACAGCAGGGTGTGGCCCGTCCTCCTTAGCCCACCCTCCTGCCCCCACAAAAGAAGCATACACTGGAATAAATTTTTCTTTTGGTTCTGAGATATGTTTTTATCTTTCCCTTGTGGGGGTGAGATGCAGCTTCCTAACAAGTCAGGGTGCAGGAAGACACAGTATGATCAGCTCCTGCCTGAGACCAGGGGTCAGCAGCACATTCCTGGGGAGGGAAAGATCCAGCTTCCTGTCTGTGGGAGAAAAGGGAGGCCAGGAGCACAACTGAGAGTGAGTCTCATGTTTTAAGACGAGAAGGAAATAGCAACCTCAAAATAATCAAAATTAACTTCTCCCTGGAAAAATAAACAATGACACCTTGAAAAGGACAATTTGGATAAGGGAGCAATAAGGATCCAATCTGTCTCCTAGGTACCCCCTGCATCCACTTTGGAATTTGATTTCCAAAGCTCCTGTAGTCAGGCTTCTCTTTGCATCCTGGATGGAAGGTGGGCCTGTGCAGGGCTGGAGCGATGGCACAGCGGGGAGGATATTTGCCTTGCACACGGCCAACCCAGGTTTGATTCCCAGCATCCCATATGGTCCCTCAGCACCACCAGGAATGATTCCTGAGTGCAGAGCCAGGAATAACCCTTGAGCATCACCGGGTGCGACCCAAAAAGAAAGAAAAAAACAAAAAAAAAAGAAAAGAAAGCTGGGCCTGTGCAGCCAATTCGTCAGAGGCAGGGGATACAACACAGCCTGTGAAGATGCCAAACCAAGAGGATGCCATGGACCCATGGGTGACTCCTGTTTCTCTGACCTCTGGGTGACTGCTGTTTCTCTGCGCTCTAGAAGGGCCACAGAGATAAGACAAGGTTGGGGTGCATGTGGCCAGCCCCAGCCTGAGCCCTGGTACCTCCTGGTCCCTGAGACTCCTGGGCACCTCCTAGAGCCCCAGCGCTACCAGGGTGCCATCCTGGCAAGCCCTGGCACCAGGGCCCAGCACTATCACACGGTCAGGCCTCACACTGATGCACCAGTCCTGTGGGCAGAGACTGGCTGGGAGGAACCACTTAGAAGCCCCCCCCTCCATCAAAAGCACATGGGGCATCTTGATGAAACAGTCCTGTCAAAATGATGAAATAGTGGAAAGAAAGATGGCAGCCTCTTTGGAGCTTTATGGAAAGCCAGGTATGAGCCGGTCGTGATGGGGTGACTGAAACCTCATGGGAAGGGGGCATTCCCGGCTCGTCCTTCACGCCCTACCGAGGTCACATGTTGCCCCCCATGAGCGGCTCTCCGCACGGCCATGGCTCCAGAGCCACAGAAACCAATCTCATAATTATCTGACTCTCAGCAGAAATACGTCCGGGCTTAATAAGTAAAATACCAGAAATCCAAAATCGTGCGGCCGCAATAGCGTCCATGCAACATCATTTGATTCTTGTAACCAGTTGTAGAAAACAAATTATTTCACAATGCCTTTTCAGCATGTCTGATTTGGGAGTGTAAACTCTAAAAAATACTGGTGCATCTTTTGTCGAAACAATGAATCTAATCAAAGTAGATAGAGTGTTAACTAGAATTCATCTGCCTCTCAGGCATTGGGAGAGTTGGGAGGGGGAGTTATTGGGGTTCTTGGTGGTGAAAAATAAGTATTGGTGAAGGGAAATGTGTTTGATAATTGCATGACCAAGACTTAAACCTGAAAGCTTTGTAACTTTTCCCACAGTTACTCAATAAATAAAAAAATGATGAAATACACAGGACATAATGTCTGACGCCTTGGAGATCTCTCTGAGAGAAGCTATGAGCCCTCCGTGGACAGCAGACAGGTGCCTGCACTTTACCTGTTGTGTTTGGGGGAAGCAAACACCTTCATGAAGCAGAGCCGAGGGCTCAGGACAAGGGTGGGGCTGTGAGTGAGGGGAGCAGGACAGTGCATTGGGCCACTCTAGTGGATATTTGGGCGAGAAAGTCCCATGTCATAGGGGCTGAGGAATGGAGTAAGGCTGTTTTTGGAACATCCCATTCCTAAGATTAATGTGACAGGAGTAAAGCCATTTTAAGCTTGAGGTACCCAATGTCTTTCTATCTCTATTATTCTCTACTACATCACACTGGTGCCTACGCTAACAGGACTTTGAAAGCTTTTGAAATGTGAGAACTTAGCCACATTTTAATAAATCAAAGCATAGCCAATGTTGTGCAGCCTTCCACAGTGACATTAGAAACAGGAATGTTAAAAAGAGGATCTTAATTTAAAACGAAGTATGGAATTTTAAGGGCTTGTGTTGGTTCCCATGTAAACCTTTATTCTGTGGATGGACCAGACAGTACTATGTAAAGACTGGTTCAGAATAACGAAACCACAGGGACTTATTTCTTCAAAGTCTTTCCTAATATCTAAAGTTAAGTTAGATGAGGTTTTCAGCAGCTTTTTTAGGTGACACAGGTGCAGAGAAGGGGCACAGTCGGGTGTGGTCTGAGCAGCCCCTGGAGGACCCACATGGCAGCCCCAGAGGGTGGAGATGGCCCAGCAGAAGGGTAAGGCTGAAACCCAGACCCCTCACCTCAGATACAGCCCAGAGAGCAGCTGTGTGCTCCACCCTGATACAGGAGACCGCTGAGGGCTGCTGGTGAGATGCTATGGGGCTTCCTTCACAACCTCCTTGGACAGGCAGTGTAGATCCAATCCCAAGCTCCTCTGAAAGCCAATATAAACCCACCCAAGCATCCCTCTGAGAGGCAATGTAGACTGCCCCTTGGAATCATTCAAGAGCAAGTGTAGATCCACCACGCTCTTCTGAGAGAGTGTAGGGAGGACTTGGTGCTTCTCTGTGAGAGAGGGTAACCCAGCTCTGACGGTCCGCGTGGGCACTCACGCCCCTCGGGACTACCTGTTCCAGCACACAACAGGACTCAGCAGCTGATGGAAAGTCTACCACATTTTTCACTTTCTGGGATAGGAAGGAGACCAGCACAGAAAAACTCTTCCCTCCTACTGGCTCTGGGATCACAGACAGAGGACTCTCGGGGGTCCACCCAACCCTGCAGAGCCAGAAACTTCCAGGTCAGTCACACTAGATCTTGTCAAAACTCTTGTGTTTTATGAAGAGAAAAAAATCCTGGCATCAAATTCATGTTATCTTTCATTTAGGGGAAATGGTTGGCAGAGGAGAAGGTCAACTATTACAACATATGAGCCAGGGGGTGTTGTCATCGGGTTAAGCTGAGCCCTTCTGTCCACTATTAATCATTCACAAGGCCAGCGGGCAGTCTCCCTCACCATTTCAACCCAGCTGCCCTGACTGAAGTGGGGATCTGGGAAGCTGTGGTAGAGCCACACTGCCAGAGTGTGACTCCGAGATTCCTGGGGTGTGGGGGGTTTGCAGCTGTGTTCCTGGGAGAACACTGGACCACACTGGACTCTTCCGTTTGCTCCACAGCCACTCTGAGGTCAGTGGGACCCTTGAGATAAGGTGGGATGTTAAGGGGCTCAAAGGAAGGAGTCCAGATCAGAGGGTTAAGAAGAAATAAAACCAGGCATTTGGGGTGATTTCTGCAGCAATCTCTCCAGTTCTGCAAGGGGGTCTGGTGTAAATTAGAAAGTTCTTTCTCTCCTTCTCAGACACAACTCTCATGTAAATGGGTCAGGGACTGATTATGCTGAAAAGTATTCACTAGTGGAAGGAGAATTTGGGTTTTCCAGTGATTCTCAGACTCTACTGCTTTGACAAGAGCCATGCTACTTTTTCTCAAACACAGCACATATGTTGACTTTGGTTCTTGAGAGGAATTAAAAGGTGATAATGGGGGCTGGAGCAATAGCACAGCGGGTAGAGCGTTTGCCTTGCACGCAGCCGACCTAGGTTCGATTCCCAGCATCCCATATGGTCCCCCTAGCACTGCCAGGAGTAATTCCTGAGTGCATGAACCAGGAGTAACTCCTGTGCACTGCTGGGTGTGACCCAAAAAGCAAAAAAAAAAAAAAGAGGTGATAATGAGGGGCTGGCATGATAGCACAGCAGGTAGGGTGTTTACCTTGCACATGGCCGACCTGGGTTCGAATCCCAGCAACCCATATGGTCCCCCGAGCATCACCAAGAGTGATTCCTGAGTGCATGAGCCAGAGTAACCCCTGAGCATCACCGAGTGTGACCCAAAAAGAAAAATAAATAAATAAATAAATAAATATGATCCTTTCTTTTAAAAAAAGTGATCATGTTATTGAAACATGAGGACTTTTGCTAGGGTGATCTTAGTTTTTCATGATCAGTTCCAGAATTTTGAACTTTGTAGGGACCAGAATGGTGATTTGAATTTAATTGTCATAAGATGCTCTAAATTCAGTGGTGATGTTTCGAGGCGAGAGGGGGAGCTGCAAGGAGAGGGAGTGACTCCTTCAGTCTCAGAGTTAGACTGTGGCTTTGCAGCTCCAGAGCTCGGGCCCAGGAACTGACCTACCTCACTGCTGCACCCACAGGGGGTCCCCAAGGAGCCTAGGGAGGAATTGCAGGCTGCCAGCTGGCTCTAAAGACTGGTGAGGGCAGCCACCACTGATCTCTGTGTACGGCATCATCTGCTCTGCCAAGGAAGCCAAATCTGGTCTCAAGTAGTAGTAGATCAGTCACAATGCCAAGTCAAAATGAAGATGACTTAACTCTTTTTTAAGGCTCTCGAGGGACTGCAGTCTATTCCAGAAGGGAAAAGTGGACTTGGGGGTGAACAAGGGATTCTGTTCACAAACCAGAGCAGTGCAGGTGGATATGGGTGGGGCAAGCCGTCCTATGGAGACTAAGGCAGGAGTGGCCCTGCACCTGGGCATGTGTAAAAATGGGTGTGGTTATTGGGTCACTTCCAGCATGTGTGTGGGAGAGTGAGCCCTCACGAGGTGGGAGCAGAGGTTGGTTCACTTGAGTGGAGCAGAGGGAGACGGGGGGAGTTGTGGGATGAGGGGAATTGGGACATGAGGCTGTTTAGGAAATTGCTTTTCAGGCTATTGGCACAAAGCTGGTCACAGGTGCAGGAGCTTTGTGAGAGGCCGGGGGTGGGCAGGGAATGGGGGGCCCCACTCCTGGACTGTGGAAGTGGATGCAGAAGGTCCAGCAGGTTCTCAGGCTGATGCTGGCCTCCAGCAGACCCCAGAGAGAAGATGTCTGGGGACTTGATGAGCCTCCAAGCAGTGTCACCAGGTGTCACCAAGATGTGAGGTACCTGCAAGACGAACAAGACACTTGGGGAAACCCAGTTGTGCCTTGGGAAGAACGACTTGCACTGGTTTTTAAGGTGGCTGCCAGGGTTGGGGTGAGGGTCAAAGATGTGGACAAGGGGCACCTTTATTCCTGTGGTGGTGAGTGATGGGTTATATAAGTAAAATGGGTCAGGAGTCAGAACAAGCAAGTTCTCGACCAAGAAGTCAAAACAGGGAGAGGCTGATGGATCAAAGCCAGGCTGGGTCCTGGTATCTCTGGTCCCTCTACTCCGACTCTGCTTAGTCTCTGGGTTGGAGCACCTTTCCTTTCTGCTGGGCCCCGAGGGAGAGGAGCTGGTTCTGACTGGGTTGTTACCCACTGTTATGTGTTACAGATGAGCTATCTGTAGCACAGAGCCTAGAGCAGGCCTTCCCTGCTAGAGAGAGTGGACTGTGGGCTGGGGGCTGGCTTGACCAGTTGGAGTATGTTTTACATGTAGGGAGGCCTGGGGTTTGATCCCTGCCACCATATTGGTGCCCCAAGTACTGCTAGGAGTGACCCAGAAGCACAGAGCTTGGAATAGTCCCTGAGGATTGCCAGGTGTGCCCCCAGATAGACCAACAAAACTGAGAGCTCTGCCTTGAGAATACCAAGATCAAGCCTTAAACAAATACCCTCACTGGAGAGACAGCATGGAGAAGCAGGTTTTCTTGGGTAACCAGCACTCTGGGTGCAGGTCTGACACTTTCCCAGCTCCCCGACAGTGTGGGCAGATGAGTCAGAACCCACTTCTGATTTTAGCACCCAGGGTCAAATGGGAAGACAAACATCGCATTCTCAAGGTGTAACTCAGGGGTGGCCCCCAAACAACACTTCTTTTAAAATGGTGGTTCTTTGTTTTCCCAGACTAGAGTCCACATGTCCCTATGCCCCATTCTGATCTTTCTGTCAATCGCAATTCCTGGGGAGCCATCTCCCGTCTCAGGCAGGTCACCAAATGGGAGCAGTGGGCTGTCGCTGGAGCCCTGCCTCTGTTCACTGTTCACTCCGGGGCCACGGCCACAGTGTCTCCTGGGCCGGGCCGTGCACAAGGCAGGGCCGCGCTCTGCTCGCCCGGGCCGGGCACAGGACACAGAGCCCAGAGCCAGCACTTCTTTCCGCAGGAAGATGTCCTGGAGGTACCGGGCCGCGCATCCTTCGCGCGCCTCTAGTCGGAGCCTCCGCCAGGCCGGCTCTTTCCCGGGCCCGCCGGGGCGCCTCTGCCCAGCGCTGCTGCGGTTGACCTGGGCCGCCGCTCTGCTGGCCTCTGCTCTGGGTAAGTGAGGGATGGGCTGGGCAGCGGCGGGCAGGCCAGTGAACGGCAGCCAAGGCCACCTCTGGCCACTTCTAGGACTAACCAGGAGATGATACAGCTGCAGTAGAAAAGGAGCTTCAGCAACGAAGGGTTAGCTCGTCAGGGGAGATGAAGGTTTGTTGAAGGTTCGGAATTTAAGGGCACTTGGAATTAGTTAGGATTTAGGAGAATTTGCTTTTTGCAATAAAGGAGACAGTTTTCTAGAGGCTCCTGCATTTGCAATTCCAAGACAATCTGGCACCCAACCATGACTTGAAATAACCTGTTTTGTCTGGGTCTGCTGAGATTTTCCCTGCTGGTGGGTTTAACAGAGCGGACAGAGGTGTGTCTGTCCCCTGTGCACCCGAGAAGCACAGCAGGCTGCTTTTCATTTTGGCAAGGGAAGTGGTTTTAAGAGTTTTATGTTCCAAGGTGAATTAATAAAACAAAAAGAAATGTTTTGACTCTAGGAGCAGTTGGCAAGTACCAAAGGAATGCGGGTGTATGACTAGTTAGGGTCAAGGGTCAGTGTTGGTGGAGGATAGAACTAGGCTCTTTGGAGTGACCAGATGCCACTCACCCCTGTGCTCAGCTGCAGTGATGCAGAGTTGCTTCCATCATGATGTCCTAGACGTCAAAAAACGGAACTGAACAAAAAATAATTTTATCTCAAAGACTCCATGTTTCCTCTTTTCTATCATTCAATGTTCCAAAAGGGGCAAAAATGTTGACATTAAAAACATTTTCTTCTACATCACTGTTTCCCTTCCTTGGGGAATCCAGTGCTCCATGCGCGAATTTGTGAAGTGTTTCTGCTGAGGTAGTTGCAGGACTCTGAGTCTGTGAGCATCCTCTGAGCCAGTAGGCTGAGGCACAAATACTGACCGAGTCAGGCTTGGCCCCTCTCAGGAGAAGCTATCTCAGATGAGCAGAGAAAGGAAGGCATGATCTTTGTCTGTTGTCATTGTAATTGATGTGCGAACATGCATTGCAGGAGCTCAGTGGACTAAAGGAATGGCCATTTGGATCAGAGGAGGGAGGGACAGTGCTGCCCTAAAGGCCTTGGGATTAAACAGGGGGCTACGTGCACTAATGTGGGGTGTCCTGTCATCTGCTGCCAGGCGACTGCGGCCCCCCGCCAGTTTTATCCTATGCTGCTCCAATGACTGAGTTGAATGAGACAGACTTTGAAAGTGGAACTGTTCTGAAGTATATGTGCCGACCCGGCTACATAAAGACGGGCTCCAACTATTTCCTGACCTGTGAGGACTCAGGTGACTGGAAAACCTCCATCAACTGTGTCAGTAAGTGACCACGTCTCATTTTTCCTTTCATCAAAATGTCTCAGGGAGGAAACATATGAAGGCAAATAAGGACAGTAAGTCATGCATCACAGTTACTTTAAAATATAAACATATGAGTAAACACAGAAGACAGCACAAATATAGGTGCTAATCGTCTTGTCAAGAAAGCCTGTGCTTTACTACATAATCAGAAAAGACTTATTTGCAATGCACCGCAAATTTGTGTTTCCCTATTTACTCTTTGGGGGCAATCTTGTCATACTCATGGGATACTCCTGGCTCTGTGCTCAGTGATCACCTAACAGAACTAGGAATCCAACTATACAAACTCACTTTTTAATATTAATTTTTATTTTTATTGAATGACTGTGAGTTAGAGCACTACAAAGATGTTCATGATTTGGTATCACTCATACAATGTTCCAACACCCACTCCTCCATCGACCAGTATAATTTCCCAACACCAATGTCCCCGGATCCCCTCCACCCACCCCCGCAAGCTAGTTTTCCCTGGCTTGGGAAACTATTATTAGTTTCATTATATATTTTTTTCTTTCTTTCTTTTTCTTTTTGGGTCACACCTGGCGATGCGCAAGGGTTACTCCTGGCTCTGAACTCAGGAATTACTCCTGGCGGTGCTCAGGAGACCATATGGGGTGCTGGGAATCTAATCTAGGTAGGCCGCATGCAAGGCAAATGCCTACCCACTGAGCTATCGCTCCAGCCCTCATAATATTTTTAAAATATCCTACAAATGAGTGCAGTCATTCTGTATCTGTCCCTCTCCTTCTGATTCATTTCACTCAGTATGATACTCTCCAAGATCATCCATTTATAAGCAAGTTTTATGACCTCATTTTTCCTAACAGCTTTGTAGTATTCCGTTGTGTAGTTGTACCATAGTTTCTTTATCCAGTCATCTGTTCTCAGGCATTCAGGTTATTTCCCGATTCTGGCAGTAGCCAGAATAGTGAATAGTGAATAGTGCTGCAATGAACGCAGAATTACTGATGATGTTTCTTCTGTGTGTTTTTGGATTCCCAGGTTATATTCCTAGAAGTGGTATTGCTGGCTTAAATGGGAGCTCAATTTATAGTTTTTCTGTGGAATGTGCATATTGTTTTGCAAAATAGACTGGACCAGTCAGCATTCCCACCAACACTGAATGAGGATTCCTTTCTCCCTTCATCCAAACCAACACTGGTTCTTCTTGTTCATTTGGATGTGTGCCAGTCTCTGTTGTATGAGATGATATCTTATTGTTGTTCTGATTTGAATCTCCTTGATGACCAGTGATGTAGAGCATTTTTTCATGTGCCTTTTGGTCATTCGAATCTTTTCTTTAAGGAAGTTTCTGTACATTTCTTCTCCCCCATATTTGGATGAGATTGGATGTTTTTTTCTTGTAAAGTTCTATGAGTGCCTTGTACATCTTTGCCATTAACACCTTATCAGAAGTGTATTGAGTGAAAAACCTTTCCCATTCTGTAAGTTGTCTTTGTATCTTGGTCACTGTTTCTTTTTGTTCCTTTTGAGGTGCAGAAGCTTCTTATTTTAATGTGGTCCCATTTGTTAATCTTTGCTTTCACTTGCACCACTGTGTCATGAAATAGTGGTGTTTCATCTTTGAGATGCCTTTAGTTTCAATGTCATAGAGGGTTTTGTCTATATTTTCTTCCATGTACCTTATGAATTCAGGTTTGATGTTAAGGTCTTTAATCCATTTTGATCTGACTTTTGTGTATGGTATTCGATAGAAGTCAAAGTTCATGTTTTTACCTGTAGCTGTCCAATTTTCCAAGCACCACTTGTTAAAGAGGTTTTTCTTGCTCTGCTTCATATTTCTTGCTTCCTTATCGAAGATTAGGTGATCGTATATTTGAGGGTCTGTGTCAGGATATTTGACTCTATTCCATTGGTCTGTGTATGTATCTTTATTGCAATACCATGCTGTTTTAATTACTACCACTTTGTAATACAGTTTGAAGTTGGGGAAGGTGAAGCCTCCCATCTTCTTTTCCCTCAAGGATTGCTTTAGCTCTTCTTGGAGGGCTATTGTTTTATATGAATTTCAGGAATGCTTGATCAATTTCTTTAAAAATGTCATAGGTATCCTTATAGGCACCCCATTGAATATGTTTAATGTTTTTGACAATGCTGATTCTCCCAATACATGAACAGGGGGTGTGTTTGCATTTCCTCATATCCTCTTTTATTTCTTGAAATAGCATCTTGTAATTTTATTTGTACAGGTTCTTTCCCTCCTTAATTAAAATGATTCCAAGGTACTTGATTTTCTGCAGCACAATTGGTAACAGGATTTAAAAAAAATCATTTTTTCTCTTTCATTATTTGCATATAAGAAAGTCATGAAACTTTGGGATTTGATTTTGTAACCTACCACCCTACTATACAAATCTATTCTTTTTTATTTTTCAACCAAGGATTTCTTTATTATGTAAGAAACAGGACTGTTAAAACGTGATCCACTCGGGAGAATTAACATTGTCAAAATGGCAATACTTCCCAAAGCATTGTACAAATTCAATGCTATCCCTATAAGGATACCCATGACATTCATAAAAGAAATGGAGCAAACGCTCCTGAAATTCATATGGAACAATAAACCCCCACTAATAGCTAAAGCAATTCTTGGGAAAAATAAAATGGGAGGAATCAACCTCCCAAACTTCATACTCTACTACAAAGCAGTAATAATTAAAACAGCATGGTACTGAAACAAAGGCAGAACTGCAGACCAATGGAACAGGTTTGAATATACTGACATCTCCCCCCATACATATAATCATCTAATCTTTGATAAGGGAGCAAGAAATGTGAACTGGAGTAAGAAAAACCTCTTTAACAAATTGTGCTGGCAAAACTGGACAGCTATATGCAAAAAAAAAATGGGCTCAGATCTTTGCCTAACACCATGCACAAAAGTAAGAACAAAATGGATTAAAGACCTCAACATCAGACTGGAATCTATAAGGTACATTGAAGACAAGGTTGGCAAAACCCTCCACAACACTGAAGATTCAAAGATGTCACTTCTTCAGAGATGTCACTTGTATCTTCAAAGATGTCATGCCACTGACCAAGCAAGTGAAAACAGAGATAGACAAATGGGACCATCTTAAACTAAGAAGCTTCTGCACCTCAAAAGAAACAGTGTCCAAAATATAAAGACAGTCTGCAAAATAGTAAAGGATATTCACCCAATACCATCCGACAAGGGGTTGATATCAAGGATATACAAAGTACTGGTTAAACTCCACAAGAAGAAAACATCCAACCATATCAAAAAATGGGGCAACGAATTGAACAGAAACTTTCTCAAAGAAAATATCTAAATGGCTAAAAGGCACATGAGAAAATGCTCTACATCATTAATCATCAGGGAGATGCAGATCAAAACAACAATGAGATATCATCTCACACCATAGAGACTGGCCCACATCCAAAAGAACAAAAACAACCCTGGTGTTTGTGCGGATGTGGCAAGAAAGGGACCCTCCTTCACTGCTGGTGGGAATGCCGACTGGTTCAGCCCTTTCGGAAAACTGTATGAACGATTCTCAAAAAATTAGAAATTGAGCTTCCATTTGACCCAGCTATACCACTCCTGGGAATATATCTCAGAGAGGCAAAAAAGTATAGTCGAAGTGACATCTGCACTTCCTTGTTCATTGCAGCACTCTTTACAATAGCCAGAATCTGTAAAAAACCTGAGTGCCCGAGAACAGATGACTAGTTAAAGAAACTTTGGTACATTTACACAATGGAGTACTATGTAGCTGTTAGAAAAGATGAAGTTATGAAATTTACATACAAGTGGTACTACATGGAAAGTATCATGCTAAGCGAAATGAGTAAGAAAGAGAGGGACAGACATAGAAAGATTGCATGCATCTGGGGAATATAAAGTAACAAAATAGGAGACTAACACCCAAGAATAGCCGAGATAAGTACCAGGAAGTTTACTCCATGGCTTGGAGGCCAGCTACACATGCTAGGACATGCTAGGGGAAAAGACAGCTCAGATAGAGAAGGGAGCACCAAATAAAGGGTGTTAGGAGGATCCTCCAGAATGGGAGATGCATGCTGAAAGTCAACTATAGACGGAGCATGATTGCCACTCAATGCCTCTTTTGCAAACCACAGCACCCAAAAGGAGAAAAAGAACAAAAGGGAATGCCCAGCCACAGAGGCGGGGTGAGATGGGGGGGCCTGGGGGTGTGGGAGGGATACTGGGATCATTGGTGGTGGAGAGTTGGCACTGGTGGAGGGATGGGTACTCGATCATTGTATAACTGAAATCCAAGCACAAAAATTTGTAAGTCTACAACTGTACCTCATGGTGTTTCACTAATAAAAATTAAAAAAAAAAAAAACGTGATCCACTCCAAGGATCAAATACTGTAAATGGAGAGAGATGCTAGTAGGAACTGAAACATCAGGGAAGACGGGGCTGTCAGGCAACCTGGTGAGCCCGTTACTGACTGAACATCAAAGCGTTTACAAGTCTATTCTTTCTAGGAGCTTTTTGGTAGAGGCTTTAGGGTTCTCTAAGTATAGTATCATGTCATCCTCAAATAGTGAGAGTTTGATTTCTTTCTTTCCTATCTGAATGCCCTTGATATCTTTTTCTTCCCTAACTGAGGAGCACTTCCAGTACTATATCGAATAGAAGTGATGAGGGTGGATAACCTTGTCTTGACCTCAATCACAGAAGGAAGGCTTTTAGTTTTTCCCTGTAGCACTGTAGCACTGTCCCCTCGTTGTTCATCGATTTGCTCGAGCGGGCACCAGTAACATTTCCATTGTGAGACTTGTTGTTACTGTTTTGGGCATATCAAATACACCACAGGAGCTTGCCAGGCTCTGCCCTGTGGGCGGGATACTCTTGATAGCTTGCTGGGCTCTCTGAGAGGGATGAAGGAATCGAACCAGGTCAGCCACGTGCAAGGCAAATGCTCTACCAGCTGTGCTATCGC